GAGTGCTTGGAAATCCTGAAGTATAAAGGGCAGGGACCTGGGCGGCATGAGCAGATATTTGCTGGGCGGCTTCTCAGGGCTGAATCCAGCCTGTTCAGTGCAAAGCTGACAAAGACTTGCCCCAAAAATCCTTGCTAATGGCTGATTTCTCAAGAATGCACACATGTATGTTACTCTGCAACATATTATGTCCCTAGAGATAAATTTGGGGGCAAAAACCTTCAGCGACAACAGAGGTGAGTGGAAATACATTTTTCACAAGCATGAAACTGGGAAACAGTGGGCCAAATCCAGTGTCTCTTATGACATGCTGGTGTATTTAAACAGGCGCTAGAGGAGGTGTTCCCTCCACTGCATGTGCATGTTTTTGTTTTTAAGGAGAAGAAGGAAGTGCCGCAGGAAACCTGGAAGCAGCGCCGATTCGGGATGGTCTGAACCCTGTGAAAGAGGAAACGATGGAGGAAGCCTCGAAAAAGTGCAGAAATGCAGGACAGACTCTGGCCAATGTAGATGGGAATTTTCTGGAACTGGCACTGCAAGCGTCGTCTCCCTTGGTAGAAGATAATAAAACCAAATTTTAAGCAGAGGATTTGCAGCTTGGGGTGAATTATGATCCCATAGTCCAGGATTTATGTTCCAATGCCAAAACGTTGCCTTTAGTCCTTACCAAGAGATGTTGAGCCACAGATTTCAAAAGACTTGGATTAAATCCTATATGAGGTCTATAAATTTATTATAGGATTGATTATAATTTTTGCTTACGCATAGTAAATATGTTATCGCTCTTCCTGCTTGCTTTTTCAATAAATTCTGATTGCTTATGACCTCCTGCAATATTACACAGAAGCGATTGTTGTTCACTGTGTTGCAATCATATAATTCTTTTTTTGTCCTACTTGTGCAGGATAATCTATGCTGTCCTTGGAAGATTCAGGCTAATCAACTTATGTGCAAGACTCTGTGTCTTCTGGCAAAATATAAAACCAGTGGGCCTGTCCTGGAGTACAATACTCGTTAGAGAGAAGCTCTTATAGAAAACATCCGAGCAAATATTTTAAAGTATAGCAAATTTGCGGAAATTCTTGTCAGTGAAGAGCGCTCTTGTCCATTTAAAAAAAAAGATCAAACAGTAGAACAGGGGTTCAAAAAATTTGGTGATGGCATTTCATATTCTCATTACAACGCACCTAGATCCAAACTCTCTGATCGTGCAAGCAGGTGAGAATATTTTAAAGTCGGACAGAAGCAGAGGGAAATCAGTGACTGTGACGATTTGCACCCTCTGGAGCAACGTGCCACCTCTGTGCACAGGACTGCACATGTGCTCGTATTTCTTCTCCTATTTGAAACATCCACTGGCTTGATCAGAAGCAGAAAGCAGATCTACAGACATCACATTTTTAAAGCTACTTAGAGAATATATCGTAGGCGTCAAAAGAAGCCTTCAGAGGGGCTTTAAAACCAAGGCCATAGAGGTTCAAATCTGGAATATTTTGTGGAGATTGATACAACTTGCTAAAACTCTACAAAATACACACCTCCTCAAACCTTGAAAATAAACAACATTCTGCAAAAAACTACTAAAAAGGACGTAAACCAGGATTTTTAATTGTGCCTTTTGTTGCTAAATGTCTGTTTGGGCTAAAGCCCGGGATAAGTCTCTCCTTAAGCTGAGCGGGAGGTTGACTCCAGAAGTCCCCTCCGCCCAGTGTTTTTCCAGATTTCTTTCCTCACAACTCCCTGAAATATCACACCCATTTAAAATACCAAGTTTGGCATAAACTCAGAAAAACCCACAAAATCACTTGTAAGAGGCAATGCCAGATCACAGCTTTTCTTCTGTTTGGGCGTTGTTGGTTTTTTTTGAGGGCTTTTTTTGTTGGTTTTGTTTGTTTGTTTTTTACAGCAACCCCAGCAGCGCAAAGAAACACTTTTCAAGGTGACTGTTGAAGACCTGGTGCAGAACCCTCTTCTGTCAAAGCCCCCATGTACATGAGCTCAGAA